ATGATGGAGTAACACATAAAACCACAATTTATTGAAGTACTTACTATCCAAATGACAGAAATAAGCAAATGAAAATACGCACAGAAATCGATGTTTTGTATTAGCAGGAGTTGTAGAGTCTAAAACTGAGGAATTTTCTGCTTGAACAATACCCATTATACTTCTGACAAATATAAACTTTAGTTTACCCACACCTTCAACTATAAGATTTAGAATCCTGTACTCTGGAAGGTAGCTGTGCCTTTGTATACAGATGCAGAGCTTTTTAAAATCAGACACACTACATTTTTCACTTCTTATTTGTTTGTTTTGTGGCTGTTGTTAACTTCTTTCCACAATGCTCAACCGATTCTATAACTCCTGAGCTCTCAGGAAGGTATTCAGGAGCACAGGATGCTAGTAGATACTGCTGCTCGTAACGGAGTTAAATAGAAGCAGTTACCCGAGCTGTTGTCAGATTGACTCCAACTCAGTGTAAATCCATTTGTGTCAGCGCAGGAGCTTTCCATGGGCAATTTCGAACGTAGATTGCGATGCCTTTTTTCTGAGAATCCTCTTGGTGGACTTGAACCTCCAACCTGTTGGTTATCAGCTCGGCCTGGTAATTGTCTGCTCCACCTCAGAGACTCCAGAGTTAAATAAGATTGTTGTGAATACCTGTCTCCAATATACTCACACCCAACAACGAAGGCTGTGAGAGTTGAAATCACAGCCAACCAGAATAATGACTGGGTGTTTGTTCACTAAAGGCCCAGCCTACTTCACTTGCGGATGAACTGTTTAAAGACGTTAACTTACAGCGTAGACCATAGCTTCAAAGTAAGTGATTCATTTGTAATTATTAAGTTCAACACAAAATATTAAAAATTCATCGAACATGCAAGTATTTTTAAAATTGGGGGAAGTCTTTGAGCTCTTCCCATTTACACTCATCATTTAGTACACCAACGACCAAGAGGGCTAGCTGACTGCCCTGGGATCAAACCTCAAAACTGGGCTGTGACTTGAACCCAAGTCTTCTAACTCCACCTCCACTCATTTACACCTTTTCCTGCTTTAGAACTAATCTTTGACACAAGTTTTTGTCTTATATTTTGTTATCTTCTCAAGTGTTTCTAGGCTTGGTGTATGATAACTATTTTCTCAAAATGGCACCTAGGTGCGTACATGTTTAAGTAGATAAAGTATGGGCATTTCCTGCCCATCTTGATTAAAGTATGTCCAAAACTCAATATAAATGAAAACTCTCCATTCCTGAAAGTACAAATAGTTCAGATCTGACTTTTTTTTCTTTTCTTTCTTTCTCTGGTAGATTTGTACCCCTAAGTGAACAAAATAGAAAACTCGTGACGGCTATAAAACAAGGTAAATGGGTGTGGGTGAACAGTGGACTGGACAGGAGATCCCCCCTCACCCAGACAGAGATCTGTTATCTGACCATGTGTTCACCGTAGGTCACATTCTTGAGCTCCAGGACTATGTGAAATGTAAATATGCGCTGGATGAAGCTGATGAACAGGGATGGTTTCCATTGCATGAAGCTGTTGTTCAGCCCATTCAACAAATCCTTGAAATTGTTCTGGATGGTAAGGGAATGTAAAACCTCTTGGATCAGACAAGTATGGGATGAGTCTGCAGATTTATGAGTGTTCCTAAAAAATGTAATGACACAGATTGGTGGCGAGGCATGGTTATGGCTAAACAGTAATACGCTTGTGTAAATAGTGGATTAATTGATTAGCATGTTCTTTTGGAGAGCAATTTTGGCATAGTGAGCTATAAATGGTCAGCTAACAGCAACATCAGCAGTTTGAAACCACCAGCAGCTCCAAGAGACAAAGATGAGGCTTTCTGTTCTTATAAACAGTCACAGCCACAGAAGCCCACAGGGGCCGTCCTACCCTATCCTATAGGGTCACTATGAGTTGGCATCAACTCAGTGGCAGTGAGTTTATTGGAGATTTTTGAAATATGTTTTGAGTTGATAGATTTCCAAAGATTATTATATCATACAAGAAAGAGTACAATGATTGCCCTTATATTACATTACATTTACATAATGTAAACATGAACAGATAGTTTGATAAACCAACTCACTGTTGAACATAAATAAGCTTGATGTCCCATTTATAAAACATTACCCTATATTTGAGATATCAATGTTGCCCTCTTGATCTACTAGATCATAAACAAGTGTGGTTTTTTTTAATTCCTTGAAACAAAGATAAGTGCTGTTTTTTTAGCTTTCAATTTGACGATCAAGTTCACTTTCATTCACCTATTTATTCAACACCATTTGGTAACTGTTAGTGAGATTTCCCTTTTCTATCAACTCCCTTTTTTATCCCTTGAATGTACAAGTCTATAACATTGGATAGTTCTGTTCTATGTGATATGTTTGAAGTAAAAACGTTCACTTTTCTACATGATATGCTTTCATTTTTCAGCATCATACAAGACTCTCTGGGAGTTCAAGACTTGTGATGGGGAAACGCCCTTGACTTTGGCAGTCAGAGCTGATCTAGTGGAAAATGTAAGAACTTTGCTAGCAAAAGGAGTGCTGTCCAACACTAAAAATGACAAAGGAGAGACACCCCTTCTGATCGGTAAATGACCCTTTTTTCTAGAACTGTTATAGCTTGAGTCAATAAGTATTTTGTAATATTTATTAGAAACCACTGTGTCTTTGTTAAAATGATAAGACTTCATTTTCATGAAGTCATTCCCTGAGCCCCTCCCCCAGCCCCACCTTGCCTGGCCTTGGATTTACTTTTCCCATCACAAAAAAGGTTGGATGTGAAGAACAATGGCATCTCCCAGCACCAAATTATAGAGCGTACAACCAGCAGGGATCCAAAACAGGAATTTTCAGAGCCATTTGTGTCTCTCCGGGACTCGAATTCTCCTCAGTCACCTGGACTTGGGCTTTATTTATGGCCTGGGCAATATTTATTATGACATATTGTGCTCATGTTACACAGGTCTGGCCTAAGTGGTAGTTAAGCTGATTTGTGATGATCTGGACTTAAGGCTTTTTGTGCCCCCTCTAACTCCTGACCTGACCACCCCCTGGGCTTGGTGTCTCCTTACTCTGTTGGCTAGCCCCAAAGTTACCCTGGATAATGGGCCCAGCGCTGAGAGGAAGCTCACGCAACGGTTCGCCTCTCAGTTCCATTGCCCGCCATTACCCTCCGTGCCCTTACGTCAGTTACAGCTCAGTTAACCTTCCTTCAGACATTTTCTCTTTTATGAATCGTTACACCTCTTCCTTGTCCCTCCTCCTTTTAATTTTCCATTCCTTGTTGAAAAACTATGGAGGAGAGAAGTCTTCCTTCTCTATTTGTGTTATGTGTTAGGAAATAATCCATCTCCAAACTGGCAGTAGATAAAATTACGCGAGAAAGCCACATTTACCCAGCGAGAGAGAGCATGACTAATTTAAAATCAAAAGAAAGGTGCCAGCCAAATGCGAAGTGTTCAAAGGTGCTTATGAGCTAGTTCCCTCGCTTTTGGTGAAGTTTTAACCTGAGGTTATTGTTTTATTGAAGCGTTCGTTGTTAAAAATATTTTTTCTTAAGAAAGTTGCTTTGGTTTCTTTTGAATTTTACTGAGTTATGTTACACCAATATCATGCCCTACTGATTTCCATTATATCAGCCCTTCCCTGTGAAGGTTGTCTTCCTGGGTGAACCAGCAAGGGGTTCTCCACCATAGCCTCTATGATTTCTTTACGAAACATTTTCTTAGTTCCAAAACTGAAATTGCAAGTGGACTTTTGCTTTAAAGACAAAAAAATTAAGTTGAAGATGAGTTTTTGTATGTTGTTCATTTTGGGACAAACGATGAATGTCTCCAATCAGCATGTTCTCTGAGTCAGACAAAAGGAACATGAAGGGAGAGGTTATGACTTCAATTCCTCCCTCTGCAATGCCCTTCTCGAATGTAAGGCATTTTTCTCATTAGAAAAAAATGCAAAAAGAGCAAGCAGATACATGAGGACACATTGCTCTTAGCTGGTTTAAGTGTGCTCTGCCCCAGCACCAGCTAGGATGAGGTCATCTGTGGTAATAGAACTGCAGTGGCAGCTGGGAGACTCGGAGGAAGGCATTTGTCACTGGACACTGCTGTAGACCGTGTGAGCAGGAGAGAAACTGGACTCCCGCGGCAGTGGGGGCTGGCTGGCTTGCTTGCTTCTGAAGGAAGTCGGCACGTTTATCTTCATTTTTCCATTTGGCCTTTTGGAGCCTTCCCCCACTCCCTGGACTTAGCCTGTCTGCACTTGGCATCCTGGCTGCCCAGGATTGTAGGAGTTAAAAGAATAGCTATTGACTACCTCCAGCTGTGATCACCAGGAGCTTTGGTGGCATTATGTTTTAGGCATTGGGCTGTTGACTGAAAGATCAGTGGTTCAAATCCACCAGCTGCTCAACGAGAGAGAGATGAGGCTGTCTGCTCTGGAGAGAGTCCCTATGGTCTGAGTCAACCTAAATGTTGGAGTTATTGCCTGCCTTGATATGCGGCATGGTAATTAGATGGATACCATCCACATCTAATGTATTCCTGATACTTGGCCTGCTGTTGACTGTACTTTCCCAACTCATTTTCCAGCTGTAAAAAAGGGCTCCTACGACATGGTATCTGCTCTGATTAAACACACCACCAACCTTGACCAGCCCTGTGTCAAGCGGTGGTCAGCAATGCATGAGGCCGCCAAACAGGGTCGCAAAGACATCATCGCTCTCCTGCTGAAGCATGGTGGCAATGTCCACCTGAGAGATGGATTTGGAGTCACACCTCTAGGGGTTGCTGCCGAGTATGGCCACTGTGATGTGTTAGAGCACCTCATTCACAAAGGTACGGGTGGAGGGATCTTGCCTTTAGACTTTCCTCCTGCCTTTCTGCCTCTCCATTTCTCCTGCCTCTCTGCTCTCCCTTTCCCTACCCTCACTGCCTCGTCTCCCTCCCCTGATGTCCATGGCCAACCTTCTCTGTAGACCAAGGCTCCACACTCAGTTCAATAATACACCTGGTGACCTCAAATCCAATGACAGCTCACTCTAGAGCTAGCCCAGTTGCGAAGATGGCTCCCAAGGTCTTGCATTCATTTGCACCTAAACTAAATTTCTCCTCTGTTTCCATTCCTATATAATAATGTCTCTCAACCAACCTTGGGTTTTCTCTAGTCCTTCTACCACCTTCTTTCTTACATCCAGCCAGATAAGTCCTATAGTTTCTCCCTCACCTGTTGGCATCATTGAAATCCTTCCTCCTCCTTGGCCAGACCCTCTTAGATCTTCTCTGGACTAGTGCAGTTGTTACTTAACTTGGCCTCCGGTGTCTGGTCTTTTCATCAGAGTAGCCACACGACACCCTGAAACTCAGTGTGTCTCACTAAGGGACAGCCGCAATAATGTAAGTGATTGGAAAAATCATCAGTGGCTCCCTACAGCCCCTCCCACCTTGCACCATTATCCTGCATCATTTGTCCAAGGTCATCCCTCATTACTTCTCAGAAAAGAGACTATTGATCTACTTCTGAAAAAAACACAGTCATTGCAAACACTATGGAGCACAATGCTACCCTGACATGCCTGTGGTCATCAATGGCAATTGGTTATATCCTGACAGTGTATGTAGTTATCCTTAAGTCACATGTGTTCCATTGCTAGGTGGTGATGTGTTTGCTTTGGCGGATGATGGCGCATCAGTGTTGTTTGAGGCAGCAGGAGGAGGCAATCCCGACTGCATTTCCCTCTTGCTGGAATATGGAGGAAGTGGAAACGTGCCCAACAGAGCAGGACATCTCCCTATACACCGTGCTGCCTATGAGGGACATTATCTGTGAGTCATCAATCACAGAGTAGTCATTTTTAGCTAAAAATACAAGATTATCGATGCGAGAGAGTCACAAGTTTCTCTGGAATGCCCTCCCAAATCCAAAAAATAGACAAAATATCTATAATAGTTGTACTTAGATATTTAGAACTCATCTGATTTTTCACCTTTCCATCTTCTTATACTTCAAAAAATTTCCATGATGAATGTATGTTACTTCTGTAATGAAAAGAGAATCCCTTTTGGAAAGAATTAAGTATGAGTGAGAATTCTGCACAAGCCCAGAAGCTGCCCCCACCTCACCCCACAGAATGACTTTTTGTTTGAAAATAAATGGATAATTTTTAAAGTGTTTAACAAAAAAACTAACTAGAAAAATGTGCCTTGTGGCTAAGGAATAAAAATGGAGACACTACAGACAGTATTACTCCAATTATTGAATAAAACCTTCAGGCTGTTCTAGTAAAATGTCAACTGAATTCTCGAGTAGAAAAGTTTCCTTATAATAAATATTTCCCCCACCACACACATGCATACACACAAAGAAAAACCTTTTTAATCACAAAATATGCCCTGATCAACACATCAACGTGAGCTTAGGCTCATGATACAAAACTACCCAACATGATGACTTTAGAAAATAAAATATGTTTCACACTGAAATGGGCTTTATCGCTTCTAGTAGCCGCATTAGGTAAGCTAAGTGGCCAATAATTGATGCTAAGTGACATGTTGTTAAAGTTTACCTGGATTTAGTCCCGGTGTTCATAAATTCACACATGGTACCTCTGACTTAGGCACGAGAGATCAAGTTATCCTTGCCCTGTGGCGCTGTCGATGACGAGCTGTTGAGTCAAGTGTGAAATTCACAACTGTGTTTCACATGTATCTCGAAGCATAAGTTCTTTATGCACACGCGTTAGTTATTTCAAGTGGTCTAAGACAGGGTTGGTGGACTAATCAAGACTCCTTCTAGAGTATCAGCTTCCAAAAAGTTTTGAAAGAATTCCAATATCTTTGAATCCCACTTTTCCACAGACTTTTTGAAGGCTCCTTGCATTTCTTTTTTATTGCCTACCATTGATTGCTGATAAATGTTCTAATGTTTATGGAAGAATCAAAAGATGGCAAGGGTTTCTAAGAAACCACAATACCGACTAAATGACCCAACATGTCCCCCAGGGATGTTTAAGATGAAGAGCTTAACCAAAGCTCAACTCTACTCCACCCCACCCACCCCACTCCACTCAACAACTTAACTAACTACACCAAAGTAGACGGTAGTAGTTTGGTGGGCAAAAGTTAGATGCCTTCTTAGAAAATGATCTAGAAAATATAAAGGACACTAAAGCTATATCCATTAAGAGGAAAAGATGGTTTATTTAATGTCTTGGTTTTTCTTCACACCGTGTGAATACTGCGTTTGTTGTGTGTGTTTATTTTGTAGTGCTCTGAAATATCTTATCCCAGTAACGTCCAGACATGCCATCCAGAAAAGTGGGCTTACCCCGATTCACTCAGCAGCCGATGGACAAAATGTGCAGTGTCTACAGCTGCTCATTGAAAATGGCTTTGATGTCAACACCCTGCTGGCCGACCACATTTCCGAGAGCTACGACGACGGGAGGAAGACCGCGCTGTACTTTGCGGTTTCTAACAATGACATCCAGTGCACAGAAGTCCTGCTGGCTGCCGGCGCAGATGCCAACCTAGACCCCCTCAACTCCCTTCTTGTGGCGGTGAGGGCCAACAACCACGAAATCGTCCGCCTGCTCCTCTCCCAGGGAGCTGACGTCAATTGCTATTTCATGCATGTGAATGACACGCGCTTCCCCAGTGCCATTCAATACGCCCTGAACGACGAAGCCATGCTCAGGCTGCTGCTGAATAGTGGCTACCAAGTGGAGATGTGCTTTGACTGCATGCACGGCGACATCTTTGGGAGCTCTTTCGTGTGGTCGGAGATCGAGGAAGAAGTACTGCCCGGATGGACGTCCTCAGTGATCAAAGATAATCCGGTGAGTTCCACCCTATTCCTCTGCCATCATTAACCATGCTTATAAAATGTCATTCACTTAGGGATCTGAGAAGAAAAGGGAAAATCAACGCTTACCTTGACATTCTTCTCTTTCTTCATTTTCGTTTGTCATGATAGGGAATGTACATTGATATAACAAAAAGAAAGTGCAGTTTGCTTTTCTTGGAGAGGGTTTTGACAAACCAGATGCAGAGGATGGTAAAAATATAGGTGATGATAGTTTCTGCTTCTTTAGTGGAAACTGGGGGTTAGAGGGAAGAAACATGTCTCCCCCATGTTATGTGTGACTAGAATCACATCCCAAATCCACTGCTAACCACTGGCTTTTTATCGGACACCATAGAACCGTTCCTTGGGGTTTCCAAAGTGAAAAATCCTTCCAGAAGCAGACCACCACATCTTTCTCCCAAACCACCAGCCTCCTGCTTTGTAGCCAAACACCTTAACCACTGTGTCACCGGGTTCCCACACTCAGTTCAATAATACACCTGGTGACCTC